TACGCCTGTGAGAAGTTGCCTTCATGGTATACGAGTTCATAGAAATTGATGTAGTATGGCTCCCCACTAAATAAAACACACTTGTATTTGTGTGACACATCAGAAACATTGCTTTGAAATGTGTCTTACCCATAATGTTGTCAAAAGTATTTCTGTGAGCTAAGATACATTGAGATTGTAATGCTACCAATTAAAATGGAATTGCCTTTCAATAAAGAAATGCCAAGTTTTCATCACAGTAATTCAAACTTTATGATCCAAATGTATGAGATATATTATCAAAGGAATCCCTGCCTACGGTCAATTAAAGTGAAACCTGAATTCGCCCTGAATAATAGTCAATACTCAATACGTCCCTTACACCTTTTAAAAGGCAGAGCTGCAGCATCTGGGACCTAGTGCAAGCTGGGACTCCTGTGTCCCAGCTCATGCCAGGTCTTCCACTGCTGCTCGGCCTCGTTTAGAACCCATTCCTAAGATGACCCCTGTTCTTCATAGTGGCATTTTTTTCTAAAAAAAATTTGGATTATGAACAAGTATACACGATAATTTTGATCTTTAAGTGTAAGTCTAGACTACAGGCTTTTGTCAACACAGGCTTTGTCGATAGATACTGTCGACAAAGCCTCTGTCGACAAAGAGCGTCTAGACTAAAGCCAGTTCTGTCAACAGAGCAAGACAGTTACTTTCAACAGAACTCGGTGGCCATGTAGATGCAGGTATAGTTTTGTCGACAAAAGTCCACTTTTGTCGACAAAACCCTGTAGTCTAGACACACCCTAAAAGTTTTTCTAAACTGTTTATATGATCAAGTTTTAATAATAAAATATAATTTGGGGTTCAGTCTGGCAGGGTCCCCATCTAAGGTGCACATCTGTGTGGGCGCGTACCAAGAATTTGCCTTCCACCCACTTCTGTAGCAGAGCCATGCAGTGACTACTCAGCTGCTCCAGGGCAGTGCCACATGGTGGGTAACTGTCCTGCCCCGGGGGCAGCTGGGAAGCCACCATGTAGCCTTGGTTCTAACTTCAGCCCTTCCCCATAGGGTTTGAGCTGTGGGCAGGGTGGGCAGCATGGTGGCTTCTGCCACAGTACTAAAAATAGCACTGTGGCTCCAGCTCCAGCACAAAGGGCACGTCATATGCACCTCATATGTCAGAATTGGAGCTGTGGACGTGGTGCTATTTTTGTACCGTGGTCCCAGCCCCAGAAGCCGCCATGCCTGCCCTGGCCCATACTGTTCCTGCGGTGGGGCCACATGGCAGGTGACTGCTCTGGCAGCCAGGCCATATGGTGGGGATGCTGCTCCGGTGGCCAGGGAAGCTCTGGTAGCCAGACCCTGTGGCAGAGTGCTGCTCCAGAAGCTGGGGCTGCTGTGACAGCCAGAGCTGTGTAACAAGAGTGGCTGCTCTGCCTGCTCTAGTGGCTGGGCCGCATGTCAGGGGCACTGCTCCCGTGACCTGGGCAGCTCCAGCAGCAGAGGCTACTCCTGCTGGTCCAGTGGCAGCCCGGTTGCATAGCAGGGGTGGCTGCTCTGCCTGCTCTGGTGGTGGCCAGGGCCGCGTGGCAGGGGTGGCTGCTCCCACTGCTCCAGTAGCGGCTAGAACCATGTGGTGGGGGTGGCTGCTCCAGCTGCTCTGGCGGTGGCTGGGGCCGTGTGTCAGGGGTGTCTGCTGGATTTTGAGGAATTGATGTTCCACAGTGGGAAAACATTATTTTGAACAACTTCTGACCAACTTCATATATAAACCACAATGAAGTAAAATTGCTTTCAACTTCAGGAAAGTCAATTTTATCATTAGTTGGTGGAGTGTGATACCAGTATAAGAAAAGGTGTGAATTTAAACTGCTATTGTTAGATTGGTGTAACCCTTGCTGTGGAAATTCCTTTGCCATTATAGAAGTTCTTATGTCGTTCTGGAAGACATTATAGCTGAATTAAAAAAAAAAGACACTCTAATTCCAGAACAAGAGTGGTTGCATGAAGAACCACGCTGATAGCACAATTATAGTTTATAGCAGCATAACTAGGGAAAAAACTACCATGTGAAGAAGCCCTGAATAGCTGTGAATTGAATGCAGATCTCTAATCTCTCTTTGTGGCCATGGGCAAGTCACATAATCTGTTCTTTCCTCATTTGTAAAATTAAAATAATATATCATTTCTGTCTTGTCTATTTAACTCTAGAACCAGGCACCCACTCTGTCATCATGTGTATCTCTAATGACTAACATAATACCTTAGACTTGATGTCCATTGGGTTTTTAGAAGCGACTATAATATAAATAAATTATAATGTGCCTTTTGAGGGCTAAACAGAATGTCACTAAAAGTTACTTGGTAACTGCCACTCAATAAGACAACCACTCACTGTAATATGAAAATATCAAAACCTTCCCATAAGGAGAATAGAAGGAAGAGAATCCAGAAGCCTGACAGTGAAGGTGACTATATTTGATGAATATTTTTTTTCCCACATGGTGGTGTTAACCAATTAACATTGTCCTGTGTAACCCTACGCAGATATCCAATCTCCTGAATTCTTAAATGTTTTTGCAAGCAGGAGTTCTGGACATCTACCTGCAGGGCTGGTTTTAGGGAAAATGGTGCCCTGGATGAACAGAAATAGATTAAAATAAAATAGCAGTCTATGGAAGATATTTGTTTTTCTTTTGGATCCCAGAGTTAAAAGTAATGTTAAAAAACAAGGGCTTTGCCAGATTAGATTATGAAGAGATTCATCGTCATAGTGGCTCAGCGAGAAACAATAGCTTCATGAAGAGAAGAGGTGTTCAAATTCTGCAGAAAGAATAAGTACACTTTGGAGAATGATTAAGACACTGAGGCTATGTCTACACTCGCGGGTTCTTGCACTAGAACATCTTGCGCAATGGTTCTTGTGCAAGAAATCTTGCACAAGAAAACGTCCACATTGCCATGTGCGTGCTGTGCTTTTGTGCAAGAGCTCCCATGGCAGTGTGGACACTCTCTTGTGCAAGAAAGCTCCAATGGCCATTTTAGCCATAGGGCTTTCTTGTGCAAGAAATCCCTGCCGAGCGTCCACACTGCCCTCTTGCTCAAGAGCTCCTGCGCAAGAGGGCTTACACCTGTTAAAAAAGAGCATAGCTCTTGCACAAGAAGCCCTCTTTTACCACGCCGTAATGTAAATTTCCTTGCGCAAGAGCGGGCGGGCAGTGTGGACGCTCTGCGGATTCTTGCGCAAGAACGGCCATACTTGCGCAAGAAGCCGCGAGTGTAGACATAGCCTGAGTGTATCAGTTACTTTAGCTACTACCCACATTCTCTGACCCTGTGAGGTGCCAATCACTCACAGTTTCTACACAATTTAGTGGGAGTTAGCAAAGACTTTGCAGGATCTAGCCCATATATAGCTGTCCAAACCCTGCTCTCAGTTACGCAAGTACAAATTGGAGCAGAATTTGGCCTAATATAATCAAACTAGTAATAACATGAGTTGAAGGTAATGTTTATAAAATTTAAGACCACAAAGGACTATTATGATCACAGCAACAGACTTTCTATATAGCACAGGCATAAAATTTCGCCCAGTAATTCCCATATCAAATTCCACATGATTCTAATTGGGCTAGAACATATCTTTTTGAAAGGCCTCTGATCAGTTTCTGTGCATGCCTATTCTAAATTGTGATTTAGAATAGGACGCAGCCCCAGCTCCAACTGTGGCAGCCACCATCTCTAGCCATTGCAAAGCACTATAAACTGTTC